TTTCGGGGGAGCTTGATCAAGTGTTTAAAAAGCAACCAACCCCCTTTCGGGGGGGTTGGTTGCGTTTTAAAATCTTGAGTAAGACACTAAACTCGGCATTGTTGGGTTGTACTCGGCATTGTTGTGTTGTACTCGACATTGTTGTGTTGTACTCGGCATTGTCGTGTTCCACAACAATGCCGAGTTTGTTTATACTCGGCATTGTTGATGACGTAATTTATTGACGACAACGAGGAATCACAAATTTTTATAATAGATTCCATTAACTTCTGTTTGTTTACGGCATAATTTATAATAAAATAATTCCGTTAAACAGTGTGGGATTCGAATTTCTAAAACAACAAGACATGTCAGTAGCCGAAATTCTTGATGAAACTGTTTAAACCCTTGAAAGCCTGGTGGTAAGTATATATACCACTTGCTTGCTTTAACAGTCAGTAGCCTTTCATTATGCATTTGTGGGATTCGTTTGATTCTCAGGGTAAAAAGTGATAATTTCCTTTAAATTCATTAACCGGTTGATCTTTGTAATGGTGAAGTGTAGTGTTTTCTGTGCGGTACGGACTGAATTTTTCCAGTGATATTTAGACGAGCTTCGACATCAAATGTTTAATGAATGGGGCCTCTGTTACGAAAGATAATTATGTCACTTTAGATTTCTCGATCCATGAACTGCAAAGAATTCGTTTTATTTTTATTAATAATTGTCTGAATAAACTGAAATTCACTCCATTCTGAGACCGTCCACTGCTTAACTTCTAAGGTGCCGCTGGTCGACATCGCACATCATCAGCTGTCCGGGGGTGGACGCGATGTTGGTGTATGTAAAATGGAGAATGTTTTTAATTTTGGAGCATGTGATTGAGCTTGGGTATCCAACAATACCTCGCAGATCTGAATTGAATTTTACGTTGAAAAACATATCAGAAAATAAGATCGGGAATTATTTTTCCTAGTTCCGTTCGCTTCGATGTAGAGTGCGCCGGCCTTACTCCCAGTTCCATCTTCAGTGTCATCATCTGTCCAGTGTGTTAATTTCCAGCATATTAGCGTAGAATACTTCTGTAATTCTGTAATTGATCATCCATTACTGTCTCAGATATTATGAGTTGCTTTTTCAATAATAATTTCTAATTTCGTCTGATTAAAAATTCTTCTTCTGGTTTGCGCAACCGTGTAGTCTTATTGGTGAGAACCACAAAAGAATGTATCGCCTCTGTTGAGGGTATAAGTCACATTACACTGTTGATGGTCGCGATGTGTTCCTCCGAAACTTTTGTAACCACCTAGATGACATCACAACTCATAAAACAACAAATTTATATTTTTGTATCATGAAAGAAGGTTGCTGGCCCTGCATGTCGTTTACATAACAGCTGCAAACTCTAATTATTATTACTTCAAGAATAAATAGAAACAACTTTCGTCCTTTTACGTGGCAAATCTCTCCTCCGGTAAACGACTAGATTCATTCGAAGCTTACAATAGTCTTTGTTTGGCCCTAGCTATGAACACGTGTTGACTGTACAATGACCAATACGAAGTAACCTATCGTTAGCATGTCTTAGGTAGGAACTCATGCAGATCAGTTATGTTGTAACAGTTCGACTGTTAGGGTAGGTCCGCCAAATACTGGAATACGTTGTGTCAGCCATGTTTGAGTGATATATTTGTACATTAGGGGCGGCTTTATTTGCAGTTATTTGTGAACGACGGATCTGGTGTTGAAACGTGGGATATTACCTTGCCAAAAGGAGTGCATAGGTTAATAAAGCGTAACTAATCATTGCTTTAAAGTTGAGTGAGAATAATTTATTCGTCTAAGTTTTTAGTCACATAAAGTTTATGTACTTTACTTCGTGCAGTATTACTCTTGGATGCTAAATTTCTGGAAAGAAAGCGAATATTTTCGTCATTTGCTTAAAATTTTGTATTTGCAGAAGGAATAATTGATATTTGGTATGTTTCTAAATCATGGAGAGCATTGTGATTGGACATTGGGTCCAGTGAGCTGAGGTTTTCGAGGCAGTGGGTATGAAGACTCTCTTCTGGGTTGTAGCACCGTGTAGTAGTACAAGTTTACCGACGTTTCAGAGGTCCTTGTTGTCTCCATCATAGGAGTGATTACCAGAAGATAACCATCTTCAGTTACAGACCACATTAATGTTGTTCCAGATATTATAACTTATTCGTGAAAATACTTTCTGGTTGTAAATATAAGGATACGTCGATTATAGCAACAGTTAAACCTGGTAACCGTATTGGAATGTTACATTATTTACTATAACTATTTAGTTTGGTCTCGCATTCTGTAGTGACTCCGTGATTGATAAATTATGTACAACTGATATGTGCTTTGTTATTATTTAAACACGTTTTGGATTGTGAAGAAAATTTTTAAGACTTGCTTAAAAGTTAAATGTTATTAAATATTTTCTAACATTCATATTCTGATCTTACTCAGTGAGATTTTAAATAGTTCTTTCTGGACCGTTTAGCTATTCATATGATATTACTAATATGACATACTAGAATTGATCTGTCGCAGAGACCAGAATGCTTCATTTACCCAGTGTTATATATTTTATATATATTCTGTAATGCTATTTCCTGGGTAAAACTATAATAGTTTTATTTTCTTAATTTGTTGTATGGTCGTAAAGGATGTAGCATTCTGTCGATATATTATTATTCCGTCTATTCATCATTTCACAGGTTATTTACATCTATGTACTTGAGACACACCTTGTCCCTGAGATACATAGTGCAACAGCTGTTTCTGAAATACATTTTATTTTTTTAATACGTGTTACATGCATTAAATAGATTTCGCGCGAGGCATTATTATATATTTTACATGAGCGTCTTTCGAATGATGTATGATGTTTCTAGAATGGCGGTTTTTTGAAGTTTCCAAATGTCGTTTTCGCCCGGGATGTTGGCCAAATATTTTTTGAGTGACTTGGAGACATTTCCAGTTGCTCCTATCTATTGATATAATTGCCGGAATTACTTTAGATTTTACCTTACACATATTATTGCTATTATTATTATTATTATTACTACCTACTTTATATTTTTAATAAATTTTTGCGCTGTGTTACGAATGTTATCAACGGGTCTACGAACATGACAGAAATAAAAACTTTTAAAAATCGATATTAAATGACGGAATACCGAGATAGTCCAGTAGTGTTCAAAATCACCAACATATATTTTTACTGCACTGATTAGAAGCTTAAAAATGTATTTACCCAGCTTTATCGATAGCTGTTATTTTTTTCTGTAAAGAATTGATAAACAAGATGTTTAGACTTCGTATTTCCTTGTGTGTGTGAGATGTCCAATTTGACTGTGAGTTTGATCGTTCAGTACACCGGTTTGCCTAAATCCTACCTTTCACATATTAACGTGTTCGCAAGTTTTGTCTGACGTGATCAGTTCACTGGCTGGTTGATTTTAAAAAAACATGAGTGCAATTTGTCTCAGCGGGCTCTGAGGTCCGTATTTCGGCTCTGAACCTGGTTAACTTTAATTTTATGAAGCAGAGTCCTCTCGAGACGCCAACAGTCGCTTAGAATATAAATTCTTCGCTTTTTACGATATTCTAAGGTTCATTGCTGTGTTCGCAAGACATCGCTAATGCTACCTTACTTGGGACACACAAATCCAACCCAGATTTTCATATCGTGTAACGTTTGTTTTAAATATCCTCCCATCTATGCCTAGGTCTCTCTCCTTCAAGTTTTCCAACTGAAACTTGGTATGGTTTTCCCCACGGCTACTACATGGTCCGCCCTTCCCTTCCTCCTTGATTTGATTACACATTTCTGACGAAATTCCTTGGTAATGCAGTTTTCTCCATCTCCCACCTCTTCCTGTTCGCTATTTCGGAATATTGTCGTCAGGACCGTGTTTTGAAACACCTTCAAACAATGTTTTCCCTCGAAATTGAGACACTAAGTTTTTCGCACCAAATATGAAACGAGTTAAAATTATAATTTTCAGAATGTTGCAAACTGTGTTTATTAATTAAAATTTTGGAATGTGGTGGCCACAGAAAAATGTGTGGTATTGTCAAGTTTAAAAGATTATAAAATAAAAATTTCTGAGCCATTAAAACAATTGTTTAATCCTGATATACACAAATGAGATTCATATCTTGGCTTATTAATTTTCTTTCTGTGAGCATAATTAGAATTTCTAAACGCTGGAAAACTACGGAAGACTGTCATCCAGTTAGTGACAGAAAACTATACCAAGTTGGTTGCTGAAATCAGGTTATGATCATGTATAGATAAGGTACGCAAGACAATCCTTGGGCCATCTCAGGTAATGTTCTACAATACAGGTCATTTGCCTTGTATTGGGATTTTGGAGCCATTCAGGAAAGATACATACAGAAGAGAGTTTGATAAAAGTCACACAAAAGGTTACCGTGTTATCAGCAAACAAAAGAAAGTTGTCTTCAGACCAAGCAGTGGTCATTACGTGCGGCAGTCAACAGATAGGACACTGGGACTTCCCACATAAACAGAATTTCTATTCATTAGCTGTTTCAGGGATACTCTTGTCAAAATAATAAAAACAGAACAAAGCATCGATTTCTAGCACGTCCCTGTTTTAAAGTCCACAGAATTTCCAAATACTTTATCTGCGTCTTAACGTTTCTATGAGCTATGTATTTATGTTTATGTTTATTCTTCCGACATTCATTCATCCCTTATTTCGGACATATAAATGTACTGTTAATTAAACTAATTTTAATCATTGGAGACATTAAATAAGATGTTTGTACTTTTTATGGCTACTCGAAGCAATGAAGTCTTGTTGGGCGATCGGTCGTGTTAGTTACGGTATCAGGTTTATTCCATACGCACGCCGTTAATCGGCCAAGACTCCTTTGCATATATTAACTAAATCCATTAAGTAGGATTTGAGATTTTCATGGCGGCCAGTCTTAAGATGACTGTCTTGTGGGTTGTCGCCCTGATGATGGTGGCAGCAAGGACCTCTGAAACGTCGGTCAACTTCTACCAGGCTACACGGCGTGACAGGCTGATAGTCGCTCGTCTGGTCTAAGAACCTCGAAGGATCTTTACCGGCTCACAATAGCACTCCTGTGGACCATATCTCTCGAGACAATTGAATCCATTTCACATCCTCATACCCCATTTATTTTTAGATCTATTTGACTGTTATCCCCATCAGTGTGTCTATTTATTTCGTCTTTTCATATCCACGTGCATATCCCATTTCGTCTCACTCTGAATAAGGAACTTCTAATATGTAGGATTTGAGGTTTTCACAGCGGTGAGTATGAAGATTTCTGTCTTCTGGGTTGTTGCGCTGTGTAGTCTGGTCGATGTTTACCAACGTTTCAGAGGTCATACTGCCTCCGATGACAACGCCCTGATGACGGAGGCAGTATGACCTCTGAAACGTTGGTTAACATCGACCAGACTACACAGCGCAACAACCCAGC